GACTTAAGTTAAAATTACTGTTTTCTATAGAATCTGAATTAGAACTCAAGAAAAACGGATAAATTCAGTCGTAAAAAGAGTTCAGCAATTTGTTTTGAAAAAAAAAACACTTAGCAAATGACAACTGGAATCTTATCTCATACCTTTTTTTTTTATTTTTTACATAATTAGTAAAACAGAATTTGTAAAGGAAAAGAATGAACCAGATCCAAAGGACCTATCAGTAACCATGTCTGTTCCAGAGCAGATCGTCATCAGAATTTATTTAAGTATCATGTCTTTAGTAAAGGGGCCCTAACAGGGGCCGGGGCGTGATCTACAGGGGCACCGGCCCCCGTTGGCCCCTGTCTCGAACCGCCCATGATCAATGAACACATTCAGCGACACACCAGAGCTTTTTCAAGCTGGGCACCGTTTCATTCACAACACCTGTCCCATCAACCAGGAATCACAATCAGAAATACTTTAATAATCCCAGTGTAATATTTACTTTAGTTACATTAGAGTGACTATAGGACCAGTTTGATACAGCATCATTTCATACAATATATATAATTAGGGGGTCGTTTTGTTCTTCGTTTCTATATAAGAGACGAGGCGTGTATGCTTGTTCTGTACATTTATTTCGAACTCCACAGCACCATCCAGTAGCAAGCTACATCCCGAACCGCCGCCCGCTCTGACCTCCAACCCGTGACGCCACGCGCCCCGTTGCATGCTGGGTATTGGAGTTCAAGAGCTTTCCGGCTCATAACATCACAGGGGTCTATCTCGCCATCAGTTTGGGGGTCCTTGGCCTGGAAAATGTTGAAGAGCCCTGCATGAAGTAATAAAGAACAAAATGGTTTAAAGCAGGGGTCTTCAACGTTTTCCAGGTGGAGAGGGGACCCCCTAATTATATATATTGTATGAAATGATGCTATATCAAACCGGTCCTATAGTCACTCTAATGTAACTAAAGTAATTATTACCCTGGGATTATTAAAGTATTTCTGATTCTGATTCCTGGTTGATGGGACAGGTGTTGTGAATGAAACGGTGCCCAGCTTGAAAGAGCTCCTGTGTGTCGCTGAATGTGAGCATTGATGACTGAAAGACATCTTCTGCCTCCATTTATCTGTTTACTACAGTCTGTTCAATTCTTATTAATGTGGATTTAAAGACATTTCAATTCAGGAGGGAATATATATAAAAAAAAAATGAATCAACCAAAAGTTTCGCGACCCCCATGCAGTACCTGAGTGGACCCCCTAGGGGTCACGGACCCCCTGTTGAAGACCTCTGGTTTAAAGCATAACAATGACTGGGAAAGTAACCTAGTTACTAGAACTCGTCACTTAATATTGCATCAGTCCCAACCAC